AAAACAAACTTCACCGCAGTTGAAAAAACACTGATACTGAAAAGGAACTACAAAATACGTCGAGAACTGAATCCTATCGAGGATACAAAACACAAGCATAGATAAATCGGGGGAAATCGAATAAACAACAGACAGATCAAAAGGCAGAAAATCAGTAAGCAAAATGAAACCAAATGAGCAATAACAAAAGGGGGTTTCGAAGAGAGGAGAGAAATCATTACCTGGGTTGGGGAAATTGAGGGGATTAGAAGAAAAGAAGAGTGTGGAAGAGCGAAAAGACGGCACTCTGGAGGAACCCTAGAGGAGGGGAAGAGCGAGGAAGAAGAAAATGAAAAGGCGCAAAGCTGGACTAGAAATGCTAAAAACTAAATTTTTATTATTATTATTATTATCAATTTTTTTTTTTATTTTGGGCCAAAAGCAATTATTTATGAGTGAATTTCGGATACATTTGGTTTCATTTTTAGGGTTTTAGGTCTGACTCGTCCAACCAATCACAAGGTTGTTGCTGCCTTGTTGGCGAAGACAAGATAAATTAATTTATCATTAAAATCTTTTAGAAAAAATATATATGTCGTTTAAAATAAGAGTAGTTCATTTACTTTACCTTTCTTTCCATCATAATTTTAGCATCAGACTTTACTCAATAAATTCTTTTAAATATAACAATAAATTTGTGTCGAAGGATTTTCATTGTGCATAAAATTTATCTTAAAATTTTACTAGTAGAGTATGAAAGACCAAATTAGTCACTTTTTAAAAGTAAACAACCAAAACGAACATTTTGAAAGTTTATGACTAAAATGAGCAAAAGTAAAAAATGCAGGGATCAAAATAAACGTTTTAGAAATACAAGGACCAACAATCAATTTAAACTTACATAATCTAAACTCTATTTATGTATAACTATTCAACTACAAACATGTGTGTGCTTAACTTTTTTTTAAAAAAAACAATTGAGTATACTTAACTAAAACATTATATACTTCTTAAAAAATCGAAGCTTCAAATCTCATCCCCTCTGTCAAACTAAAAAAGATTGTTCCATGGATGGAATGGATTACACATTTTTTTTTCTTTTTGAAATTTGTGATTATAGTTCATACTAATGGTTGAATGAAACTGCTTTTGTATATTTCATCGATTCATTTTGTGGTTAAGTTCACTATTTTTGTAATTAGGTTTTGGTATATAAATATATATATATACGACCACGTTAGTCCCTTAACTCTTAAGTTACCTTCAAGTTGATAAATTTAGACGTCTATGTAACATGATTTTGATAGACCACAAACAACAAACAACATTCCCATCAGATTTTGTCCACTGATAGTTAATTTTTTATTTATTGGTGTTTTGAGGCGATTTTCTAATTTGGTTATAAGGAAATATTAAATGCAAAACTTACTCAAATTTATAATTTAATTCGATAAAACTAAAAAGTTAAAGTTTTAAATTGACTCACGATATTTCTTCTAACAATTATGTTGTAAAAATAAAAATTATATTAGCAATTATGTTAAATTAGGATTGAGAGCATTTTAAAGCTATTCCTAGTTCTTTACTAGATTGAAAATTTTTAATATTTCAATACTTATTTTACCCTTTAAGTTAATGAATTATCTAATCATGTAAGAACTTTTTGGAATTTTTTTAATTGATTAAAAGCACTTTTTTTTTTTTTTTTGCACTTCAAAAGTTGTGGCTTATGCCTCCCTCCCACCATCTCCAATGCAACATTCAAAGAGAAGTTAACAGCAGAGGAGGAACAAAACAAACTGTTGCATTTCGGAATATTCTCCTTTGGCTTCAAGAATATGGACTCATCTGTAGAAAATTATCGAGTCAAATTGCGGTATTAGACAGAAAGGCAGCGAATAAGTAAGTTTAAGTCAAGTAAGGCACCTGTGATTAAGTTTTAAATAAAAAAATTTAAGTAGAGATCATAGACGCTTATCTAATGTGACAAGGAGTGGTTACATAATATTTAATAAAATAAAAGCATGGAATATATAAATCCAAAATAACATCATCTCCTATTCTTCCAAAATCTCTCTCCCTATCACAACAAATAAAAATCCAATTCTGGAAGTTCAAAAGCTTGTCCTCCATAACAGCTGATGCCAAAATATCCTAGCTGTGCCCAGCTAATTTTCCATGGCACACGGAGACGCAATACTCGAAAGTTGCCTATAGCAAGCGAGCATCAAGGCTAACATTTTCTTTTTTTGGAACTCGAAGACACCATAGTACAACCTATAGAATAGTAGAATAGATCCTGTGCAAATAAGGTCGTGAGCGACCTCATAAACCACGTCCACGTTAACGAAACCAGGCTACATGACATTGCTAAATTTTGCCCAAACAATCCCAGTGAATTACAACGACAAATTGCATAACACTTAAGTCAAGAACCATTTTTCTGCTGTCCATGTCCTATTCATTTGGTATTGCTCTATCTTAACTGGAGACAATTCCAAGTCTTTTTCCTCCCTTCCATCAATTCCTCACCTATCTGTCTACGTATGCATGCACATGTGAGTCGAGAGAGAGAACACAAGATGTCAAATTATCACACATGTTATTCTTATTAGATAATATGGAATCCTAAAAGATAAAATAACAGAAAATTTTCCATGGCATAATTACTGAATAAGATATCTACTATCTATTTTACCCTAAATAATAATATAAACAACGAGATAGATAGCTATCGCCTTCAGCGTCTGATACGAAACAGGTGGAACAAGGTAAATACTCCAAATCTATATATAATGAAGTTGTTAGGAAGGGCGGCCATGCATGGGAGTATTTACATTCAACAGGAACGTGTGAAATAATCAATTAGAAGGTAGAAGGAAAAAACCACACTGAACAAAGTAAACCATTCTACCAATCTCTACTTTGCTGCAGAGACCATGCAAGGCCAGTTAGACTCGCAAAGAGCACTAGGTGAGTTTCCATCATTGTCCTTTTCGTTAATGTTGGCATTGTTCTTCACAAGATGTTCAGCAATCGCTTCTCTGTCGCAAACAACGGCATAATGCAACGGAGTTTGACCATCAACGTCCTATCAAAGAGTGCATTAATAAAACTCCATTCACATAGGAAGGGTAGATCCAGTAGGACACTACTACTGTCCTACTGAGTAGTAGTTTTAATAGAGATTTCTTTAAAAATAATCTACCTTAAAAATGCACAATTTTTCTTCTAATAAAATGTATAATTTGCATATCTTTGGAATTTGGCGTTAATTAAGATCTAGGCATCTATGTCTAATACTACTAGAAGAGTAAGAAATGTGGCATAGGCAAAAGCTACCACCGAGTAGAGGTTTGCTTCAGGTGGTAAGAAAATATCAAAGACAATCTTGATTAGTAACGATAATGTTAAATTTAGGTACCTTCACATCTATATCAGCATTCTTGCTAACAAGCAGCTCCACAACATTAGAATGCCCACGATCCACTGCCCAATGCAATGGTGTCCTGCCTTCACTATCTGCAATCAATTCAAAAAAACTGTTCAGCAAAGATATTACTTAAGATTATTCTTGGATGGAAAAGAATAAATGTAGCCAGTCCCAACTTGCTCCTTGAATAGGAAAAAAAGACATGCACAGAGATCTTGTAAGGTATCCCCTTACAATATGATATTCAGATTGATTTCTAAAAGACGAGAGAAAGCTTGATTTCCAAAAGACAAGAGAGAAAGCCTTATGGCATACAAAGGAAGATGTTCCAGTAGTTAGACTTTTACAAAATGACAAAAGATCCCTTTCTAGGCTAAACTTCCTCCCTATATAACTAAACCCGTACAGCAAGCTTTCGTAACTACAAATGGTAGGCGATTTCCCATCCCATCTTTACCTTTCCTAGCTTGTACTAAGTACAAATGGTAGGTGATTTCCCATCCCATCTTTACCTTTCCTAGCATAGGTATTTACAATAGGTAACCTCATATTTTATCAGAAGCACTACATGAAATATGATACTTCGAAATGTTATTTTCATCTAAAATCAAGTTATACCCCAGATTCGTGAAGTATTTATAAATTTAAACTTCGAATATGAAGTAACAGCTGTATCTTTATCTCATGGGGTGGGCATGAGGCTCCCAAAATTGGTGTCTTCTCCTTTAGGAGGCAAATATAGATCAGTGGAGTTTAGGATCTCAGATTGAGGAACAAGTTAGCTCTTAAAATTGGGGAAAGGAAGAATTAGATCTTATCTGGTCAGAGGGTTTAGGAATAATCTCTACGTAACTTGGGATAGAAAGGACTTCAAAAAAAGTGGTCTTGTAGTAATTATCGTGTGGCCTGCATGATTCACAGAGGAAATATTGGTTATTTATACCTGATGGTTGGAATAGGCTTGGTTGTTCAAACTTCCTCTCCTGGCATCGATATCAAAGAGTCTATCGTGCATCTACAAGCTAATAGAATTGAATGTAGAAAGGGAAGTCAGGTTCTTAATTGTTTATCTTTCCAGAATTATTGGAGATCAATAGAGACGAACTATGTTACATTGCAGTAATGGAAAAACAGGAATACAGGATGGCGTCCTGACTTAGAGAGAGGGGAATGCTTATGAAGAGAAAGGAAGGAAAGCAAACACGAATATAGCCAGTGGATAGTTCTCTAAGACATCGAAGATGGCAGTAGTTGGAGTCTTGGACCTTCAAAATTGGAATTTACTTTCTGGAAGTGCGCTCTTCAAAATGCAGCATTTAAACAGTGGCTTTCTCTTACCAGTGTACTCAGAACTATTCAGTTTAATTATCCTCCTTAATTTAAGCGACAGTCCGACGGAGTTTGATGCTTCAAGGTCCTCACTCATTCCTTTTCTGGTTTTTGGTGTAAGGGAGCATTGATATGGCTAACAATATTCAAATGAAATTCCATATTACAATGTTTTTTTTTTCCTTAACGGTAACTGGGGTCCCTTTAGTAATAATTATTTTTATAAAAATGCAGATATATAGAGAGAGAGAGAGAATGACGTAGACAAAATGATCCCATCAGCATTATTACTCATTAACGGAGCCGTCCAATGGAGTGCAATGATGAAATTGGAAAAGAAGCAGCAGAAAAAAATCACCATGATGCCATCATTATTAGTCATTAACAAAGGGGCATAATAATACGAGGACTAAATGAATCATTCATTAGAGAACACACCCCACCCCACAATTATTGGTCGAGTTCAAATGAAGGTTATCTATGTTGATATGGGTCTTTTCCACATCATCCACATAAAAAAGGAATCTTTTGTTACAATAGAAGCAGAAGTTATGTTGGATTATTCAAGAATCGAAGTCGAGTTGCTTTATAACTCAAGTTAGCTTGAAAAGAATCAATAGTTTGGACAATAGTTTGGACAAAACTATGGCCATGCAGGTTTCAAAATGGAAGAATTTTGTTTGAGCCTTTCTATGGATAACTTGGAAAGAGAGGAACCATCGAATCTTCAACAGAAAAGAGTTACCTTTCGACGGGCTTTTTGAATCTATTGTTTTTTTTGTCATATCATGGTGTAAAATTCTCCCCTTTTCCACGGCTATAGCTTTACATCTTTATTATATAGTTGGAAAAACTCTATGTAATCCCTTTTTAGGCCTCTTTTCCAATTTCATACATCAATCAAATTGTTTCTTCCAAAAAAAAAAATGTTTCCTATCCCAAAAAAAAAGTAAACAATTAACAATTAAAAAATTAAAATAAAAATCCGGCTTAGGCCACAACCCAAGAGACAAATTTACTCTTTTATCTAGATTTAGAATGCATAGATAATTTTAATTACTGGTTCGAAACATTCTGAAGGCAAGCTATTTCACCTAGAAAACGTGCATAGATTCTCCCAATCAGGATTTCTCTTGTGGCTCAATATGAAAGGTGAATATGCTAACGTTTCCCTGATAAATTTAATCTGAGGCATCAAGCTTATTGTTCAGTCACTTAAAAGTCCTTTTTGACGTCAAGTTTGGAAGCAAATTAACCATAATGCTAAGCCAGCTTGGCCTCATTCGCTTTAGATTTTATTTCTCCAATCCCAGAACAATTTACTAAACATATCCATAATATCACAACACATTTTCCCTGATTGTTAGAGAGTCCTATGGAGGCAGACTAATTTAATCGAGCCTAACTTGTCAAGTCTACATGCCTACTTTGAAAATCATCATGGATCTATTCATTTACCAACCTCCATGACTTGTTAGGCCTACCTCGTTTTCGGAAATCAAAGAATAGGTTAAGAACTTTTTTCAGTAAATTTTCTCTTTATAAGAGGTTAATGACTTAGTAACTTATATTCAAGACATTAATAATTAAGCAGAATTAGAAATTATTAGGAACCAAGACAAAGAAAGCTTGAGAAACGAACCCTTGGTATTCACCGAGACACCATTTTCTACACACTTGAGCAAATTTTCCAATTCACCTTCTCTAGCAAAGGCATGAATAGCTTCCAGCTCCCTGAAAATTAAAATGAAAAGCTTCAGATTGTCAGAAAAGATATATATCCACAAAGGCCAAAGAATTCCTTGGCAAGCATAAATTAACGATAAGTTTCTGGTATTCAAACATTAAATTTTCAGCAACAGGAAAAGATATGCAGTATTAAAATATTAAATTAACAAAATAATGATGCCTATTTAAACAAAGATAACAAAATGATGAAAATAAGTCAGCTACTCTACTCACAATAAAAATCACAAGTACCTTAAACATAAAATAAAACAAAAAAGGGAAAGAGGGAAGTTGAAATGGTATGAAGAAATAAAAATGTCAAGTTCCTCAAAATAAATAAAGCGAAAAAAAAAAAAGAAGGGAAGTTAAAATGAAATGTGAAATGAAAATCTTGGTATTGCTTCTTATTAAACTACAAAATAGTAAATTAGCCTCTGGTTTTTCTGTGTTCCTCGTACCCATAAAAGTGTGGGTAAGAGTAAAGTGGCTAAGAAAACAAAATCAATGATGGACTAAATGTTTTACCATCAACCATTCAAAGTAATGGTGAGACAATCAAGAAAAAAACATCATAAACATTCATCTGGGTAATCATGTTGAGATTGGCACTTATTGTAATCATAGTAACAAAGGACAACCCTCATTGAAATTATCAGTTCTTGAGGACTGAACAGATGAAGGTATGCATGGTGTCTTGTTTATACATATAATAAACCATTTTTGCTCAAACCAAGCCATAAACACAGAGCAGGCACACAAGGGAGCCAAAAAATAAAATACAAGGAGCTCCAACTTCTGAGAATCAAAAACAAAGAAATAACACCCAATGGAGAGAGGAGGGAAAAAAAAGGAGCCAAGACCTGCAAAGACCCTCTAAACCCCTTCTTCTCCTTTCTAACTAAATAGTTCCATAAATCAGTCAGCTAAGAACCCAATCTTCCAGAGAAACTTCCTTTGTTACAAAGGGCACGAAAAATAAGAGTTTATTTGGATTAACTTTTTAAATGATTTTGGAGGGTTAACAGTGTTATTCTTTTTTTTTTTTTCCTAATTCATAGTGTTTGGCAACAAATAAATATCACTTTTGGAATAATCAAATTGGTTTATAATCATTTTTAGAATAATCACTATAAAGTTGATTATTGAAAAAAAATGATTCTAAAGTGATTGACCACAAATCACTCTGGTAATTTACATTTGTAGAATCACTTTTAAATATAGTATAACCAAACCTGATTAAAATCACTTTTTACATGTAACCAAAACACTCGTGCATTTTAAATAAAGCTATTTTTATAAAAATTGTATTAAGAACATAATGCAACGAAACTTCATCAAAATTGAAGGCCACCCAAAACTTGCAAAAAAACGTCACCAAAACTGTAGTAGAATACCTTCAAAGAATATAATAAGATCCCCTACAGTCTCCTGAAAAAGAATCCACCACTAAGGTACAAGCATGAAAGAGGAAGTCTCCAGGATAAAGTGGTGTTAATTCTCTCTAATCCAACCAACCAAGAGAAAATGTGATCTTTCTCTGGACTTTAACCTTCCAAATAAAGGAGAAGCAGGCTGATGGGAAAAAGACAGAAGGCTAACATAAAAAGACCTACATGTACGCACACCAAAGGCTCGAGAGTCTAAACTCTTCTATCCTTTTGAATAAGGGATAACACAATTCCTCCTCTCTTTTTTTTAAAAAAAAGAAGAAATGAACCTTTCATTGATGAATGAAAATGAACAAAAATTGTTCAAAAATACAAACTCTCAAAAGAGTGAAAGAGATAAAAAAAATAAAAATAAAAAAACAGCACAATTCCTCCTAAAATCCTCAATAGCTTCATAGATCTCATCTAAAATTTGTCTCCCCACCATGAAACCTCCTTGGTACATAAGATAATACTGGGTAACACTTTTCTCAGTACCCATTCTTGCTGCTGAAGTCTTGGAAATAATTTTGCAAAAGACTAATCGCTATATTTGTGGAAGAAAAATCTCTTTTATGGGCACTAGAACTTTTGGGAATCAAACTTATTCGTGATGTTCCCAATGATACCCCCCTAAAAAAATTCTATGAAGACCTTCAGAAAAAGATCAGTGCAATGATTAGGTTTGGGAGCACAAGTAAGAAGAAGTCTAACACTTTTGCCCATCCCCTGGCCCTGGAAAAGGGGTAATCTTCAGTAAGTTAACTACAGCACCACTTCTAAACCTTATTGCCCATCCCCCTGGCCCTAGAAAAGGGGTGGTAATCTTCAGTAACCACCATGACATTCCAACTCTAAACCTCCACGAGTCAACTACAGCACCACTTCTAAACCTAACGAGTGATAAGACCTCATTCCAGGAGCCTACATAGCAACAGCCACATATCACAAAAAGGTTTTGAAGGGGCAACAAATAAAAGGATGCAACTGAGCCCTTATTAATACCTAATGAAACATAACTTCCCTATGTCTTAAGACTCAGGGAATTATGATTGAACAGAAACATGACAAAGGTAACAGCTAGAGACGCCTTTGACTTAGCAAAACTTCATTACTCCAATTGGCATTCCATACATAGTTCCTTTCACATGTCTGCGAGCTTTCTCCCATAGGGAGCTTTACACTTAGATAACTTGCAAATGTCTTTTCACAATATCAATAAATATAGATTTCGAGATTCAAAAACTAAAAAAAAGGAATTCAGGACAGGTGGACTATAAGTAAAACAAATATCTTCAACATTAGTAGAAACCTTACAAGTCATTTCCAGTTTCCTCGTATACAAAAGTGCTGAAGACTGGCCCCATTGGTCCTTTAGAATCTTTACTTCTAGCATCAACATTCCCATCTTTGCCCTTCTGGTCCTCACAGGCATTTAAAGCTAATTATAAAGAGAACAAAAAGCACAAACAAACAAACAAACAAGAAGCACATAGGGCATGAAAGGATGCTGAAATAAACAGATTAAGTTCTCACCACACTTGCACCAGCCACCCAAGATGGATATAACTCAGTAACGATATCAATGTATTTTTGCATTGCTTCTTCAGGAGGCATAGCACCTAATTTCTGCCATGCTTGCCTGGTAAGAATAATTACCTATAAGTATAAATAAAACACTCAGCCCAAAACGAACCATAATATCGTTACCTTGAAAGTCGATTTCAGGTGTCTTCACTTATGCTGTTTCTTTTCTTTTTTTTTTGGTGACCATACATAACAGTATAATAAACACTCAAGTGTACAGCATTCCACAGCTTATAGAGCAAGAAGCTTTTTTTCTTCTTTTTTTATTTATATCTATAAGTGTTCGGGTTAGTTTGCACACAACTCGACTAATCTCATGACACACTATTTAATCCCATAATATTTGATCATCAGAAAACTGGTATGATTTTAATATCCTATGTAGATAGCCACCAAAGAGGATTTTTGAACTTTGACAGTTATCTGAGCAACATGTTAGACTAATATGACCATTAATCTACTTGAATATAATGCCCTAAACCTACTTTATCACATGCCATTATTAAAGTGATCATAGTCCAAAGATCAAATTTATTACATGCCTTTCATGGGTCTTCCCTATTTCGAGCCCTGCTGGCGTGCTTCAGCTTTTTCATGTGACCTTTTTTTTTTCTGATAAGTGACAAAAGTGTTTCAAGAGAAAAAAGAAATAGCCTAAGCACAGGGGGGCAAAGAGCCCCCTCCCTAAAGAACTAGTGTAGAGTAGCCTTCCAATCTTGAAGATTCATGGCTAAACTGTAGTTACAAAAAAAAATTCCTATGATTAATATACCATAAAGAGGCATTGATTTGAACACTAATACAAAAAAATTGATGAGATGAAGATTTTTTTGTGAAAAACTCTAGGATTTCTCTTTTGCATGAGACGCTTCATGGTACAATGCGGTGGTGGGTCTTATTTGGAAGTTGTGGGACGAAAGGAACAGAAGAATCTTCCAAGGGGAAGAGTTGTTTTCTGGGATACTAATAAATATCATGCTTCTTCTTGGTGTTATCTTAGCAAAGTTTCTTGTAATTATGGCTTTTCAGATATTTACGCCAACTGGGAGAATTTTTGTAAACACCTTGGTTTAATGGGGATATCTCATCTCCTGATTTTGTATATCATCTCTTTTTTAATATAAAATCTTGTTTCCTATCAGAAAAATATAGACATTACATGGGCCAAGGTTTTCTAAAATAGACATCAGCCTTATTTGAAAACAAGGTACACGGTGCACGTTTATAAACTCATTTAAGTTTCATCCCTGTGTCCACCAGTGAGAACCTGATAAAGAAGGCCAAATGGCGCAAGGGTTTTATCTTCTTATCCGTACCGTTGTTAAACAAACCTTCATTTTAACTCTTAAGAAATCCGTTTCCAGTGCATAATAATTAGAGCCCTATAGTCAAATAATATTTCCCTAATGTTGCCACCATACTTAAACCCACCAGGTAATCTCTAAGGAACTCTAGTATTCAATCACTTATAGTAGCTACTAAACAGCAGAGCAATCTTCGTAATGAATGAAAATTGAAGAAACAGCCTTAAACATAGAAAGACGGCAATACCACTTAGCCCGAGCTGTCATTTTCAAGGCCGACGGCTGCGGCGTGCTGCAAGGCCCCTCGGTGGCGATTTTGTAGTAGCCGTAAAGCTGCAGCTGTACGTCGTTGGATACCTTGGGTGAAAGGCGATCAGCTGCAGAGGCAGCGACGAACGCAGTCGCGGCGCTGAACAGCTCGTCCAATTCCGTGCTCTCTACACCTTCCCAGTCATCATCGTCGCTTTCACTCCCACCTATACTCTCATTCCTGACACTCCCATGCTCCGCGATCACGGAGTCGGCCTCGTTCGCAAATCCGAAATCTCCCGAACCCGACCCGACATCAGCCGGGTCGTTGTCGATTGGCTTGGTTCTGGAAGCTCCTCGGGCGGAGGAAGCACGGGAGACGTAGAGGTTATCTTCCTTGAAAGAGACGACTATGGAGATCAACTTAGCAACAAGATAAGAGAAGATGAGGCCTATGAAGAGGGTCTGGAGAAGCTCTTGCCACTCTGCCATGGCGGAGGGGAATTGGGAAGCAAAAGAAAGCAGTGAAGCTATGAACAAAAGGGAATTGGAGAAGCTTGAGATGGAAGAAGCGGAAACCCGCCGGAATCTTCCCGGCAGGAAGATTGGGGTGGATTCAGAAGGGGGAAATCGAGAGTTGAGAAAAAGAGAGGAAAATCAAATTGGCGTTGGCGGACGGCATAAATACCTATGCAACAAACTCAAGCGGCGGCGTTCGCAATGGCAATATTAGGAATCCCTCATCCCCACGTTATTTTTTTCTACTGTTTGCACGTGGCATCATCTTGGACGTCAAAAGATCCTATCGCATGATGTACAATGTGTAATATCCTGTCATTCTTCTTCTCCTATTGTCAAGAAAGTTTCTTCTTCTTCCATTATCAACAAAATTTGCTGTTAATCCATCGGGCTTAATTGTCAAACATAAAGGTTCAAAATTTTTAAAAGGATAATGGCATTTTGCACTTTAGACTACAAATTTTAATAGATCTATAAGCTTTTAATTTTACATTTAATAAGATTTTCCCATTCAATCTGTTAAAATATGAGAATGTTGTTTATTTGATATTGTTTATCAAAAAGTTTCTGGAATCGAAATCATAATCAAGATCTCTTTTATGTTTGTTTACTAAAATTGTTTGGAATCAATTACTAGTATGCCATTTTTTCTTTCTTGTGCTAATATTTGATTTAATAACAATAATAATATATTTGATTTTATTAGGATATTATTGATAGCAAATATTTTTTATTATGATAATTTATTTAATATTAATAAATAATGAATAATTAAAGAACAACTATCATATAAAATATTATTATAATATTTAATAACAATAAATTTTATTTTTAAAAATCCATTGATATTAATTAATAATAACAAAGTAAATTTAAAAAAATTAAAAAATCAAATATAAATTTAAATCGCAATAAAAGTTGTATAAATTTTTATTAAAATAAAAATTATTAGTAGTATAAATGAAAAAGAAATAACAAAAATATAAAATAATTAATAAAAAAAAAAGTTGGATCATTAATAGACAAGGGAGAAAATGTAAAAGTAGTAAAGTAATGATAATAAATGTGTAGAACCCACAAAATAAGGAATGAGATTGATAAGAGTGTATGAGAATGAGATTGACTGTTGGAATGAATTACCAAATTTGAGGTCGATCCGACTGTACCTACAAATTGGTAAACATCATCGAAGGGAATAAAAAATCCATTCTCATTTCGTTGAAGTAAACATGACCTTAGTTATGTAATCATTCTTCAATACAAAGTTGACCACAAATATACATTCGTTCTGAAATTCAAAGTTTAAGAACTTGTTATAAAAATTGTTTAAGTCCAATGAACGAATATTGAAATATTAATGTTACAATTCAAATAAAAGATGATTTCAATCTAGAACAAGGACTAGTTCATTGTCTTGATCTGATGGATCTAGACAAAGAACAGCATCAATCCTCATTTCAAATTGCAACATTGAAAGGCTATTGACGTTGACGATGGCTTCTGGCGAAGAGAAGATGAGAGGGAAGGAGAGAGTGTGGTCACCAAGAAAATAATTATTAAACTAATATATTTTACCAAATCAACAAGCCACATCATCTTACCGTTAGCCAATCACTATTTAAAACATTTTCTCAAAATTTAAGAACTAAAAATGTCTCTTAAAATTTGAGAGAACTACAAACTTAACGATGTTTTGCCCTTCATTTCTATAAATTATCCAACCAAACAAATTAAAAATATATTTATTCTAATAAAAACGCCACAGAAATGGAAATCAAATCAATATTCAAAGAGAGAGAGAGAGTTATAGGAAGAAAATAAACTTAAGCTGAAGTGGCAGATACCATGGCAAGTCCTAATATCTTTTTTTTTTT